CCCTGCCAGGGCTTGCTGGGGACGGGCTGCCGACCGCTGTGTGCACTCCCCTCCCCCTCACCCCCCACAGCCCGCCGGCCCTGGCACTGCTGCGCATCAGAGAAAACAGCCACCACAGCCCCTCCGTGACTGTCTCCAGCCATCAGTGCTACGCCACCGCCTGACGGCTCACAACCCTCCGCAGCATCACAAGCTGTGCACAGCCCCTGGAGCTCGGCACCGCTGGGCTATACCCTGGGCCAACCCACACCAAGGAGTAGCAGTGTCACCCCCATCCTCCAACCTAGGGGGCCCTTTACGATGCCCCAGCCTCCAGTCTGGACTGCTCCCAAAGAGCCCCAGCACGTACAGCACATAGCCCTGGGCATGAGCTGCAGCCTGGGAGCCACAGCTTACACCGAGCAGCCTTCATCATATTGCAGGGTGACCCCAACCCTCCCCCCAATCTTAGGCTGCCCCTAGAAAGCCATGTCCTGTGAGTCCCACCCCCAAGCCTGGACAATACCAGGAGCAATGGCCAGAGTGGTCCTCACCCCCATGTGAGATCAAGTGTGTCCAGTATTTTGTTGAAATCATCTGGTGACCCTACATCTATCTAGTCCTTCTGCACGAGGCGGAAGGAATCGGTCGGAAAAGGCTTTCCTTGTCGACCAATCCCCGTCTAGACTGCCACTTTTTGCCGGTTAATTGCCGCATCGGCAAAGAGTGGCAGCCATTTTTATTCGAATGAAGTGCGGGATATTTAAATCCCCGCTTCATTGGCAATTTCGGTATGTCTAATTTAAATCCCTCTGGTGACAGAGAGATGTAGTCTAAACATACCCACCGTGTGTAGAGGGAGGCAGCACGTAGCCAGCTCCGCGTCCCGGGTCTCTGCTCGAAGTGTCACATGGGCCAGAGTAGCATGTCCTCTGGTCCCACCTAAGCCTGGCGCCCCCCTAGCATGGTACCTGGGGGCAACTGCCCCCCTTTTACCCTCTTTGCTACACCTCTGGGATAACCTACTGAGAAGCCCCAACCAAGGGGAATCTGGACTCTTGGGAGCAGGCCCCAAACTAAAGGAGTTGACCAGGAAGTGGTTCAGAGTTCCTGGGCCAAGAGCACGGAGGGCCAGTGCCCCCCCTTACACTCACTAAGCAGCAACTTAGTCACTAAGCTGCTCAGCCACCTGGTACCCGGCCACAACTTGTATTTCAAGTGTTTGCTTCTGGGAGACGACAGCAGGTAGCATGGCCAGCCTGCTGCAAAGGGCTGCTAGTCACATGACGAGCAGGACTTGACTGAGAATGGGCCTTGGGTGGTGCCGATCCACATCTGCGGAGCTTCCTGTGGCAGTTCAGATGCGCATGGAAGCAAAGCCCTGAGTCGGGCAAGGTACCAGGTGACAAACCCCATTTTGTAGCAGGGATATTCCACAGGAGAACATTGGGAGTCCTTCCACATAGCCAAGGGTGTGAAAAGGGCCTTGGAGGTTCCTCCATTGTGTCTTCAGTCTGGACTTTCCCCTCTGGAGGATCTTTGCTGTGAACTAAAGCTTGTGAAGGACTGGCTAACTGTGCTTTGGGGTACGATCTGAGGGATACGTTGACTGGGAATGTGGCCGATCTTTTGGAATCAGAAGAACCTTTTTTGATTTGGTGATTGGTTTTCATAACCTCTCATCTGTCTATGGCAGTGTTTCTTCAACTGTGTTCTGTGGTACACCGGTGTGCCGCGAGGCAGTCGGAGGTGTGCCACGGGGAACAACAGCATTAAAATTGGCCACTGTTAAAGGGGCAAGCGACCTTTTTTTTTCCTCAATGACTTTTCCCCAACTCTTTTTCTTTCTTAGGGTCTGTCTACACTAGCCCCGTAGCTCGAACTAGGGTGGCTAATGTAGTCATTCGAACTTGCAAATGAAGCCTGGGATTAAAATATCCTGGGCTTTATTTGCATGTTCCTGGGCGCCGCCATCTTTAAATGCCCGGTAGTTCGAACTCCCTGCCCGCAGCTACATGCGGCACAGGCTAGGTAGTTCGAATTAAAGCTCCTAATTCGAACTACCGTTACTCCTCCTGCAATGAGAGGCTGTCGGTGGAGTAGATTGCTCCCCCCACCTGCCCTGTTTCATACAATGCCTCCTCCTGGGAAAGGCTGGCAATGGAGTAGCTGGAGCTCCCCCGCCCCAGTGCTCTTGTCTTTATCCCTGAGGCGGCGCGAGAGCGCTGAGTCTCCCTTCGGCCCAGCACAGGGAGTGTTCTGTGTCTCCCGAGCCTACTCCAGGTCCCAGCGAGGTGCTTGTCAGAGTCGCATTACAATGAGCCAGAGGGCCTGCTGCTCCCCCTTCCTTTGGCTCAAGTGTTCGGGCTAATCAGGCTCGTTCCAGGCCTGGTCTGCAGGGGAACCCGTCTCAGACTTGCAGCGTGTGCCCCCAGGAGTTACTCCACTTGGGACAGTCTCCGGCAGATGCTCTGGGCAGCCGCTGCCCGACCTGCAGGACCGGCGAGTGCTCTGGGCCACCGGGAGCCCAGCCCAACGACAAGCAGAGGCCAGGACCCTCGTCTCTGGAACTCCTCTCAGCTGCTCCTCCATTTTCCTGCCCCCTCCCACAGGCTCCTGGGAGAAGTGGGCCTGGAAAAACATTACTCCCATGGACCTGGGCCCCTGAGCTGAACCCTGCCAGCAATTCAGTGAAGACGAATCTGCTCCTCGGCAGAATTTGCATCCCTCTCCTCCCCTTCCCCGTTCAGTGGCTGAGTGCTGCTGCCTCAGGCCAGCACTCGCAAGTGGCAGGGCCAGACCTGTGGCTTACAGGAACCCCCAGCAGTCTGGCCCAAGGGCAAGGGCACCCTGCAACAAGACTGGGGAAGGGCACAGAGCTCAAACCCACTTACCCTCAGCGTTCTTCTCAGCATCGAATCTTTGCCCACAGCCCTTGTTGTAACACAGCAAGGCCATCTCCAGGGTCCAACGCAGCAGCAGCAAGCCCTGCCCTGTCCCCGTGCAAGGCGGCAGCAGAGTCGCTGGAAGGAGGGCGGGGCTGGGTCTATCTTTAGGCACAGCCAGAGAGGGGTGGTCTGGCAATCACAGGGCAACCCAAAGATGGGCATGGAGGCCCAGCAGCTGTCTGGACACGTCTGTCAGCTTCCAAGTGTCACTGGCTGAGCTGACACCTCTGTCCTGCCTCCCTCCTGAGACGTGAGGGCCACGGCAACTGCAAAATAAGAAAGAAGCCAAATGGATGCCTAGTGCAAATCCACTGACTTCCATGGGCTGTAGTGAATAACGACACAATCCCTGTGTAGGAAGCCTGCAGCCTTTGTCCCTCTCTGCAGCACAGTCTCTCCTCTTGCAGCGCCACAATTTTTCCCATGACGCGCTCAGTCTGACCTCTGGGAAACCAAGCTGGGTTCTCCCTGCACCGCTCCCCTCCCCATTCCTTATGGGGATGGAGCTAGCGAGTCTCACTGAGTCCAGCCCATCCGCTGCAGCGTGAGCAGCAAGCAAAGGCCGGTGTTCCTTCGACACAGAGTAGTGTGGCCGTGCGGAGAGGGGACAAACTGCTCCAAGCACTGTTTAAATCTCAGTGTTAGAGCAGTGCTTGGGCAGGGGCTGCTTTACATGACACTTTTCCAATCAGAACCATGCTTTGAATGCCTTACCCATGGCAAGGAAGCCTGGGTTATTGGGCTGAACTTAACTAACAGGAAAAGAACATTTGCAGTAAATGATTTTAAGTCTGAGCCCAGCTGTATGGAAAGAGCTGGCCAGGGACAGGACATGGCAGGGTTTTACAAGAGCCAAAGGGGCATTCTGAAAGGGTCCAGGAGCATGTGTTGAGCAGCCAGAGGATACAGCCGTTCCATTGACGGGGGCAGGGCTGTTGCTAGCTGCATAGATGTCAGTACAAAGGCATCATCTGGAATTTAGCAAAGCAGCTCAGACGGGTCTGGTGGAGTTGAGCCTGGATGAGGCGTGCGGTGGCAGGGCACATGCTTGGGAGACCTCACTGAATGCAGTGTAAGGCTCTCTGGGGCCACGTATTGAATGCAACATTTATTATGGACCAGGAGTGGATGGCTCGCTGCAGGGGCACCGACTCATGGCCAGGCATGTGCCTTCCCAAATGGCACCCGGCTAATGGCCGGTCCCTCTCCAAGGCGTGCTTTAGTCCCCCCCACTGACCTCGCTGCGGGTGGTCTGCCTGCTCTGGGCTCTGTGGTCCTTACGTGGTGACATTCTGGGGAGCGCCCGTGAGCCCCCAGCCCCTGGTCTGTACAGAGGGAGGATATTGCACAAACATCAGGGGAGTTGTGCTGAAACCCATGTGCCATCTAACCTGTGTCTCCTGACTCAGTCGGGGGGGCTGCGAATGCACCTAATGCACATGGGCGGGTGGTCTGCCTGCTCTGGGCTCTGTGGTCCTTACGTGGTGACATTCTGGGGAGCGCCCGTGAGCCCCCAGCCCCTGGTCTGTACAGAGGGAGGATATTGCACAAACATCAGGGGAGTTGTGCTGAAACCCATGTGCCATCTAACCTGTGTCTCCTGACTCAGTCGGGGGGGCTGCGAATGCACCTAATGCACATGGAGCCATGAGAACATCTTGTATGTTGCCACTAGCGGCAGCCAGATACTAGCTCCCCAGGGACAAGGAGAGCAAGAAGCAAATGCCTGGGCAGGTGTCAAACAACCTGCCCCAGCCGGTCTCCAGCCAGGGAGTCACAGGGTAACACCTCGGCTCCATGAGGCCAGCCCAGGCTCGTGTTCTCCGAGCTGTGAGTATGGAGCAGAGCGCAGGGCTCTGCTCCGCCCGCCCACTGGCCTGCAGCAACAAGACACTCAGAAGACTGAAGACTCCAACAGAGGAGCCTGGCCCAGCTTTCAAGGGTGAAACCTGTGTTCTATGGATGGCAATAGCCAGTGGGGTGAGCAAAATGGCTTGATCTAGTCCAGGGGCGGGAACCTTTTTAGGGTCGGGGGCCACTGACTCACAAAATCAGACAGGGGCTGCACACAAGCGAGAAGCAAAACAAACAAACAACCCCCACCCCCAAAAAACCTCATCACTGATGTGGCCCTGGACTGAGGAGAGGGACACTCCCCAATTCCCCCCACACACCACAGCCTGGGGGGCCCAGGCTAGTAGATTTTGTGGGCTCCAGCCTGGCGGTGTGGGGAAACCCCTAAATCTCAAGCCAGTGGCCGCATCCAGCCCCTGTGCCTGAGGTTTCCCACCCTGATCTAGATGCTGCCCAGTCTAGTAGGGCTGAGAACTTAGACTGTGGGCTTCTGTTTTATTTCTTTTGAAGACGAACTCTGACTTTTTGCCTACCTCTTAAAATCCATCTTTTGTAGACAAGAAGCTTCTTTTACTGCTGCTTTCCCAGCGAGGGCTCTGGTAGATTTGCTCAGGTTTTGCAAGGGGTGAGGTATATCCACGTTCCATTGCGAAAGTGGGGAACCAATTCAATGTGCATTGCTAAGCTTGAGCAATGCAAGACAGTGCAGTCCTGAGGCACAAGGCTGGGGCGACCTGGCTGGTTACCTGCTCCCAGAGACTGGAGAGCAAAGGCCCAAGAAAGCTTTATAAAGAAAGAGATGAACTGCCCAGTTGATTGTTCTGGTTCAGAATTTGAGACTATCATAAAAGTGCAATGTTGAGGAAAATCCACGTGTGGGTTTGAAGGACTGACACCCACCAGCTCACAGCTGGAGTCCGGCTGCCTTCGATGAGCATTTAGTAGCTGTGTGGGATTGTGTGGTTTTCAGAGTATTTTCTCTGTCCTGCTTTCGCTGTGAGCATAGCTGGGCTTGCTTAGGAAGCTGTGAGCTGGCTTGTGAGTGCTGGCAACTGCTGCTGCTCATTGCCGCAGGAGAGGAAGCAAAGCACAGACATGACCGAGGGAGTCCGGCTTGCTGGGAATATTGCAGCAGCAGCGAGGACCTGTGCTGCCTGGACAAGCCCCCCGTCAGAAGGGAGAGATATATATGCACGTCTCCACCCCAGAGAGGTGACAAATGATGAGCTGGAGCCTAGAGTGGGTTCCTTGGTGGACCACAGAAGGGACACAGAGGTGCAGCTGCTCTGAAGGCAGGGGTCCAGACAATCCAAAAGTTACAGGAGTAACCAAAGGGTTTCACCAAACCAAGGGAAAAGACCTTCTGGAGGGCCCCAAGTGGACGCCTGAAGCACTGGAAGAGATAGATATGTGAGCTCCAATGAACATGGGGCTTCTGGGAGGAAGATGCTGGCTACCGTGGTGTCTATAGGCATCAGTGTACAAAGAGCATATCTGGACTTCATATAGGTTCTCACGGTGTCCAACATGGAAGCACGTGTTCTAGGCCCTCCTGGCACATTTCACTGTTATCAGTGAGCTCCCAGGAGAAAAGAGCAAACGTTACCTAATGATCTACAAGCCCCACCTGGCGTTTGCCCAGCTTCGTCCTCCCGAGTCTCTAGTCCCAGAGCGCTACCATCTCCCCCTTCACAACAGGAGAACCTCTCCAGACAAGAGATTTTAATCATTGCCACCAAGTCCAGGAAAGTTTTATTCTCACTGTATCAATGTACTCAGAGACAGGAATGTCCTCTTTAGGGATGTTAAATAGCGGTTACTTGAATAGTCGATTAATCTCATGAATTCTTATCGGTTAGTCGACTATTCCATAGTCCCTGGGGGCAGGGCTGGCAGCCAGTGTGCTCTGGCTTCTGCCACTCTGCACTGCTGCCCGGCTCCTAATACACTTTAAATGGAGAGCTGCAGCGGGGGTAGATCCTGGTCCCAGTGCGAGCCAGGACTGAGCCGGGCTGCTGGCCAGCCTGCTAGAAAATTTACTGGCAAGGGGGGGAGGGAAATGCGTGTAGTCTCTAGCATTGACCTTTTGCAGAGGCTTTTGCTTATTGATTAATCAGTTAATCGGCTCACTGTTGCATCCTTAGTCATATTAGCCACCGGGGCCTGCGGGAGCATGCTCACTTCTCTGCTCCATTTCAGCAAACACGGGTACTTAGGACCAGAAAAGGCTCTTAGAATGGAGGCATACAGGGGGCCTGCTGGAGAGGAAATCTGGATGATTGAGTGTTGCATTGCCAGGGTTGAACCCTGCCCCCCGTCTTTGAATGGCCGCAAACATACTACTACTACTGAGATGCTGGCCTGCTCAGTGCTTGCTGACACTTTCCTTCCCAGGCCAGGAAGTGTCAAAAGTCCAAAGACACCCAGAACCATGTGGAAAGGGTTGGCCACAGCAATCAGAGAGGAGTCCCAAACTTGGTTCATGTTGCTGTACAATTTCAACTTCCAAAGCAGGCCTTGGCCTTGGCCTCAGACCTCAGGGTGTCCTTTCAAGCAGAGCAGTTAGCTTTTTCCTTGTCATTTCGGGGGCTAGGAAGAGGGCGCCATTGGAGGGAAGTGCATGTAGCACAGTGGGCATCAGTCCACAGTAAAGAGCGGTGAAACCTGCAACACAAACACCACACTCAGGTGAGCTCACAAGGGCCTCAACTCGCTGCAATTCTAACCAGATTAAGACACCACGGGAAGCCCTCCCAGGAGAGATGGACCCTGCAAATATGCACATTCCCCTTCAGAGAGCCCCAGGGAACCAGAGATTCTGAGCCCAGAGGGGATTGCGGGGATCGCGTAATGTGGCTTCCTGCATGACACTCCCCCACAGAATTCCCAAAGCAGTGCAAACATCCAGTCCTTTGTGCAAACATCCAGTCTTGATTGCAAACAGCCAGTGAGGGAAAACCTGCCACCATGGGTCAAAAGGTACCCCTCATTTCCAGACTTCAGCTTCCAAGTCTTAGACCTTCCTCTGTTAGGCTGAAGAGCCCATTATCCAGGCAGGTACTTATCAGACTGTCATCAAATCCACCCTTTACTTCTTCATTAAGATAAACGGATCTTTATAAGTCCTGTTTTCTAATTTGCTCATTATTCTGGTGGCTCTTCTCTGAATTCGCTCCAATTTACTGACAGCCTTCTTAAACGGTCAGCAACAGAATTCCAGCAGCCGTGGCACCAGTGCCAAATGCAGAGTGAAAGTAAACTCTCTAACCCTACCCAAGTGGTGTGCGTCCAATGATTGCATTAGCCTTTTGGCCACATGCCCCCATCGTGATTCTCACATCTTCTTCAGAGCTGCTGCTTCCCAGGGCAGTCCCCATCCTGGAAGTGTGGCCTGTGTTCTTCACGCCTAGACATATGCATTTACCTTCCCTCTGTTAAAACACACCCTGCTCACCTCTTCAGGGCAGTACCTCGTCAGCAGTCACTTTGCTTTATCAGTGGTCATTTAAACATTGTTTCCTTGGTTGTGATAAAACGATTAACGAGGGTAGGGGCAAGAACTGATCCTTGTGGAACCCTCCTAGAAACCCAGCTGCTCGATGCTGATTCCCTCTTTACAGTTTCTCTTTGAGAACTAGCTGTTAGCCAGCTTTTAATCCACATAACGTGCCATATTCATTGCATATCATTCCAGTTTTTAAATCAAATGTCATGCAGTATCATAGAATCATAGAATACTAGGAACTTCTTCCTAATGTCCAACCTAAACCTCCCTTGCTGCAGTTTAAGCCCATTGCTGCTTGTTCTATCCTCAGAGGCCAAGATGAACAAGTTTTCTCCCTCCTCCTTATGGCACCCTTTTAGATATCTGAAAACTGCTATTATGTCTCCCCTCAATCTTTTCTTTTCTAAACTAAACAAGCCCAGTTCTTTCAGTCTTCCCTCATAGGTCATGTTCTCTAGACCTTTAATCATTCTCGTTGGTCTTCTCTGGACCCTCTCCAATTTCTCCACATCTTTCTTGAAACGTGGTGCCCAGAACTGAACACAATACTCCAACTGAGGCCTAACCAGCGCAGAGTAGAGCAGGAGAATGACTTCTCGTGTCTTGCTCACAACACACCTGTTAATGCATCCCATATCAAGTCAAGTGCTTTACAGAAATCAACACTGTTATCTTTATCAACCACACTTGAAACCTCATAACAAAGAGATACCAAGTTAGTTGGAAAGGATCTATTGTCAATAAGCCCATTGT